CTGCGGCCCTGCCAGAGCCGGGGAGCGGCTTCAGCTCTGCCGGAGCCGGGCTCGGAGCAGCGCCAGGGCTGTCCCGGGGTTTACCGGAGCGGCCGGCGGCGCTGGCAGCTCCGGGCGTTGCAGTGGCCCTACCTCCTTCCCCTGGATACCTGTTACAGAAGGAGAGGGGAAGGAAAACAGTGCGCTGGCTTTAACTGGAACAATGCAGACTGTGATTTACCACCATTGGCTGCGGCCGCTGCCACCTGTAAGAGACTTTTTATTAATTAGCTCTGACCTGACTGTGAGCAAACATTCATTGGCAGTGGCAGCTCGGGCCCGCTTGGGCTGTTGGTTGCAGCATCTAACTTCTCTTTTCCTCACCTGATCTTTAAGAACTGATCCTCAGTTAACCCCTGAGGAGAGGAACATATACACCTTACTTGACAAACTGCATTTCATACCAGTCCTTGGACAGCTTAGGTTTTATTCTAGAGTGAAGCAGTTTCAGATGTGAAAAATAGATACAAGTAGGAACTGTAGCCCTGGAGTCAGCTCCCCTTGTGCATCAGACTAAATGTCTGGAAAGCAGGGAAGGAGATCTAATGTTTGTCAGAGCTCAGAGAGCCTGAGCAGAGCTGTCTGAAGAACAGAGATGTGCCCAGCTCTGTTGGGGATGTGGTGGGGAAAGGGGGTTTCTGTATTGTCCCCTGCACTGTGGTGTGGCTGCAGTCCCTGCCCTTGGCAGAGGGGTTGTGTTCTGTGCCTGGCAGCAGAGCTCAGCGTTCCCTGCCGAGCTCTCTGCTGTGCAGTCAGTCAGGGGCAGGGTGATCTGGGGCTCTGCAGCCCCTGGTTTCTCTCCTCAGGAGCTGTCACTGTGACCACTCAATAACTTCCTTTTCTCTTCCTGTTCCCCAGCCTCGTAAAGCCCATGCGACACTATACAGTCTTCCTCTCTGAGGACTCCTCTGATGATGAGTTTCAGCAGGAAGAGGATCCTGTCTCTGGCTTCTCTGAAAACTTTTTCTTCTCTGCTCCTTTCGAATGGTCTATCCTTTACGCTTTTGCTGTGTTCATGCCAGCTTCAAACAGCAGGGTTTGCATTGCTCAGGGCACTTGCTCCTGTACTGGGATTTTGGAAATGCTCCTGGGGTCTCTGTACAGTGCTTGATGAATCACCAACATTTCTCCTGCTTGTTTGTCTTGATGTTGAGCAGCATGAAAAAACATCCTTCTGCATGAAACACTGCAGCAACACATGGGCTTCCATTGACTTGAGCTCTGTGGGATGTCACCCTTCCATTTGTCCTTTGTTCCAACATGCTGCTTGTGCTCCTGTCCAAACCTTTCACCATTCATTCTTGTGTGGTGCTACTGTGCTTTGGGTTGTCCTGTGAGCCTCGTTCCAGTGCAGTTATCAGCCTTTCCAGTGTCACCTGTTTGATCCCAGCATCTCTGGTCTGTCGGGTATCACATCCCTGCAGATGTCCTCTGAGGGCATTGGGTATAATCTGACAGTTAAACAAGAAGCAGGAAGTTTGTTTGGTCTGTTTCTCTCCAGCTTTTGAATTTGTAACTTGTACATTTCCAGACCTCTGTAACTCAGTCTTGAAAGGCTGTGTTGAGCAGCTGGGGCAGGACCACTCATGGATGCTGTGGCTGGAGGGCTCTATCCCTGCCCAGGGTGCCTGTGGCAGGGGAAGGAGCAGGGCCTGCCTAGGATGCCCATGTGAGGTGAGGGAAGCCCTGCCAGCTGTGGGTTCAGCTGCACTGAATCCCACTTGCTGCCTATTTGAATATCCCAATCCTGGCAGGCAGCTCTGAGCTGAGCCCTCACTGAATGGCAGCAGAGGATTTGTTATTTCCTACCCTCGCCTGCCTGAGGATTTCTAGAGGATGAAAGGAATAGAAATTGCATGGAGTTGCACTCATTCTTTTAACAAATACAGTCACTGGTTTGACCAGAACCTGTAGGAAGAGGGGCCAGGGTACTGTGAGCTGCTGCTTCAGAAATCCACATGATGCCACATCCAGGCAGTTCAGGAGGATGATGCCCATCACAGCTGGGTCAGACCAGGCTGGAGAAGGAGGCTACCAGTGGGACAGAGAGCTCTGCAGTTGCTAAAATCCATTGTGTGCTGCAGACACAGGTTCGGGGGCTGACAGGGAAGAGATCTGACTGCAGGCAGGTGGGATGGGGAGGAGCAGTAGGAAAGGGCCAGGAAATATTCCCACACTGTGTGTAGGGTGGAGGAGACCAGTTTTGTTTGCAGAAATCCCTTAGGGGTTTGCAGTGTGGCCCAGAGTGATGTGAGGCTGAACACAGAGGTTTGTGAGCTCTGTGCCCTGAGGCCATGAGCTGTCACTGTCTGCCCTGTACTTGCAGTGTCCCTGTCCTGGTGCAGGCTCAGTGCCTGCACTGTGTGTGCTGGGGATGGAAACAAGCTCTGGGCTCTCTGAATTTGCATGATATAGATGTATTATGATAAAATATGGAAAGGGGAGGAGGGTTCTTCCATAGGATGTGCTTTTGCAGGTCTCACAAATATTTTCTTATAATTGAAAGCTTGTTTAAATGCCACAGTACAACTGGCTGCCAGTCAAGTGCCAATCCCCACAGCCACGTGTGGCACTTGCTGGTATTAATTGGATGCACATCGTGCTGCTGTTCTCTGTACACACACCAAAATGCAAATGTGCTGCTTCAGTTTTTTGCTGAGGTATGTGCAAGAGAAGCATCCTGCTAACTCAGCCTCGGCTGGTAATGTAAAGGAGGTGTCTCCATAATGGATTGTGGTGTTTCTTGATAAGATGACACCAATGAGATCATTGGAAGCCACACAGTGTTCCCAATTATTGCAGGAAAACACTAAGTTACGTTGTGTGCTGAGTTAGCTCAAAGCCCAAGGATGTCAGAGCCTGCAAACACAGGGTGCAGAGGCCATGCCCAGCCTGAGGGGAGCCCAGACAGTCAGCATGGGGAGCATAATGGTAGCCCATTATCCCTGCTCTAAGAGCTCCCTTCTCAGCCTGGCCGGGCCTGCATGAGCACAGCTTTCCTCTGAGCACTTCCCACTCTGCTCTCGCCCTTCTGAGCACCCTCGGGTGCCAGGTCTCCTCTGCATGTCCCCTGCCCTCAGGCACTGCTCTCAGCCTGCTCTGCACGGAGCTCTCTGAGCTGTTTTTGCCATTGGGGAGCTCTTTGTAACTCATCCAGCTCCTTAGGAAATCATGTTCAAAACAAAGAATTAGAAATATGGTGATTTGCAATGTGGTTTTTGGTTCTGTGCCAGGCCTCAGCCGTACCGGGCCCTGAAGGAGTCGGACAGTGCCGACGGGGAGGACGTGGGCAGCCCGGAGAAGGCGAGAGAGCCGCTGCCCCCGAGCCCTCTGCTCTCCAGCAAGGCCTCAGAAGTCAACCTCCTGGAAGATATCTTCCCCAACTTGGAAGTGGAAGCCCAGCCTCAGCCCCTCAGCCAGGCCAAGAGCCTGGAGGACCTGCGGACGCCCAAGGAGGAGGCGGAGCAGCGCTGCTCCTTTGAATACCAGGTCAGGGGTTTCCTGTGCCCTGGGGGCAGCACAGAGCTCATTCTGAGGAACCTTTTCATGTTATTGTGTAGATCCTACTAATAACCATCATCATCATCATCATCGTCCTCATCTCTTTTCCAGAAATTAATTTTGAAACGTGTTTCAAAATTAATTTCTGAATTAAGGAATGGCTTAAATGGGACTCAGTTATAAGTAACTGTTTCCTCTGAAACCTTTGCTTCTGAGGGAGAGAATATTTGCCCTGTTCCTCAGAATCTGTTTGTCCAGTGGCTGTCACCCACAGTTATCTTTGAACTTGATGGTCAGCAGTGAGAATGAAGAATGAATAGTTGGTAATTTTCAGGTCCCCTCCAAACTTTTTTTTTCTTTTAATCTGGCTATTTTGGTCTAAACATCATTTGCACAATCCCCCTCTGAAGAAACTGGATTGTCTGTGAAGGAACACAGCTCAGAAAGTGTTAAACTAAAGCAGACTCCAAGTTCTCCATTTGACATTAAAGAAGCCATTTCTACCTTATAATAATATTGATTTTAGTGTTACATTCAGATATTTCATTTGTCAGCTTATTCCATGCAGCAATTAAGGCTTCTCAGTTTATGTGCCTTGGACACAGGTGTGTGCTTCTTATTGGGCTGGGACAGATGCACAACAAATCCCAGCTGAAAAACCCCGTGGAGGCAAAGCTGCAGAATCGTGGCTGGTTCCTGACTGTCCTTCCTGGGCACACGCTCTTGTCCCTCTGCACTGCTGGCAGCCTGGGGACAGATCCTCTTCCCTCACAGCAGCCTGAACTCACTTCTTGCTCTGTGTTGTGAGGGCATCACTAAGAGTTAGTGTTTGTTCTGCTCTCTTGCAGAGAATGGATCTCGGTGTGTCTGAGAGGAACAGGATTGTGCCAAGCATGAAGCTGTCCCACGCTTACAACAAGCTGTGGAGTATGGGCCACGATGATATGGCTATTCCCACCAAATATTCCCAAAGCTCGCCCGAAAGACCCTTGGCTGCCCTGGGTAATGTGCCCCCCATCACCAGGAGACCCCAGAGCAGAGACAGTGGTCTGGCTCCTGCAGAAAAGGAGGAATCCAGTCCTGCCATTCAAGGGAACATCACCATTCCTAGGCCACAGGGAAGAAAAACACCAGAACTGGGCATCGTGCCACCACCACCAGCACCCAGAGCTTCCAAGCACCAGGCTGCAGCTGGGTCAGCGGAAATCTTCACCCCTCACGGGCGCAGCCACTTGGTTCCAGATCTCATCCCAGAGCCCTTTGGGGCTGGGAATGTGTCCTTAGACACCGAAGTGCAGCAGTCTGTAAATTCCTCCTCTCGCCCGTCACAGCTGCTGTGCGGCGCTGCCGGCGCTGCCGAGATGCTGCAGCCGGTGCGGGTGAAGACGGAAGGAGCGAGTAACGAGAGCGAGCTCCTGCTGAGCCTGCTGGACCCGCTGAGAACCACGGGCTGGCCGGGCTCGGCTCTGCCAGGCTCGGCCCCGCTGGGCTCGGCC